TTGATAGCTACGCTTGTGTCCCTGTGTGGCATTTAGAGCCTGAGTAATATCTGGTTTGTTAGCTACGCTTGTGTCCCTGTGGGGTATTTAGAGCCTGAGTAATAGCTTGTTTGATAGCTACGCTTGTGTTCCTGTGGGTATTTAGAGCCTGAGTAATAGCTTGTTTGATAGCTACGCTTGTGTCTCTGTGTGGCATTTAGAGCCTGAGTAATATCTTGTTTGATAGCTACGCGTGTGTTCCTGTGTGGCATTTAGAGCCTGAGTAATAGCTTCTTTGATAGCTAAGCTTGTGTCTCTGTGTGGCATTTGGAGCCTGAGTAATATCTTGTTTGATAGCTACGCGTGTGTTCCTGTGTGGCATTTAGAGCCTGAGTAATAGCTTGTTTGTCAGCTACGCGTGTGTCCCTGTCTGACATTTAGAGCCTGAGTAATTGCTTATTTGATAGCTACGTTTGTGTCCCTGTGTGGCATTTAGAGCCTGAGTAATAGCTTGTCTGATAGCTACGCTTGTGTCCCTGTGTGGGATTTAGAGCCTGAGTTATAGCTTGTTTGATAGCTACATGTGTGTTCCTGTGTGGTATTTAGAGCCTGAGTAAAGCTTGTTTGATAGCTACGCTTGTGTCCCTGTGTGGCATTTAGAGCCTACGTAATAGCTTTTTGATAGCTACGAGTGTGTCCCTGTGTGGCATTTAGAGCCTGAGTAATAGCTTGTTTGATAGCTACGCTTGTGTCCCTGTGTGGTATTTAGAGCCTGAGTATAGCTTGTTTGATAGCTACGCTTGTGTCCCTGTGTAACATTTAGAGCCTGAGTAATATCTTATTTGATAGCTGAGTTTGTGTCCCTGGGTGGAATTTAGAGCCTGAGTAATAGCTTGTTTGATAGCTACGCTTGTGTCCCTGTGATTTAGAGCCTGAGTAATAGCTTGTTTGATAGCTACGCATGTGTCTCTGTGTGACATTGAGAGCCTGAGTAATAGCTTGTTTGACAGCTACGCTTGTGTCCCTGTCTGACATTTAGAGCCTGAGTAATTGCTTATTTGATAGCTACGTTTGTGTCCCTGTGTGGCATTTAGAGCCTGAATAATAGCTTGTCTGATAGCTACGCTTGTGTCCCTGTGTGGGATTTAGAGCCTGAGTTATAGCTTGTTTGATAGCTACATGTGTGATCCTGTGTGGTATTTAGAGCCTGAGTATAGCTTGTTTGATAGCTACGCTTGTGTCCCTGTGTGGTATTTAGAGCGTGAGTATAGCTTGTTTGATAGCTACGCTTGTGTTCCTGTGTAACATTTAGAGCCTGAGTAATATCTTATTTGATAGCTGCGTTTGTGTCCCTGTGTGGTATTTAGAGCCTGAGTAATAGCTTGTTTGATAGCTACGCTTGTGTCACTCTGTGGCATTTAGGTTTGAGTAATAGCTTGTTTGATAGCTACGCTTGTGTCCCTGTGTGACATTTAGAGCCTGAGTAATAGCTTGTCTGATAGCTATGCTTGTGCCCCTGTGTGGCATTTAGAGCCTGAGTAATAGCTTGTTTGATAGC